CCCTGATATGAAGCAAACACAGCCACGAGACAGGGCAAACGAGAGCACACACCAACAGAAGAGTCTTTTTTTTTAAGAATATTTTTTGTATTTTTTTAAGAATAAAAGACAGGTATTTTAAAAAATATTAAAAATGGAAAATTAACAAACAAATTGACAAAAACCGAAGGAAGGAATGAATCCAAGCAAGGAATTAATAATAAGCAGCAAGGAATGAATCCAAGCAAGGAATTAAGCAGCAAGGAATGAATCCAATCCAAGCTTAGCCAGTTGCAAGCCAACCCAATGCAGAAGCCACTCTCCCGGACCTCTTCCCTTCTCCCTCGCCTCTGCAACAATGAGCTGTACGGCCGCGCGGAGCCGCTTTTAAAGGGCTTGCCGGCCAATCAGAAGCAGACACGGTGCACTGCTTGGGTGCTTGGGAGCGCCGGATTGGCTCCCAGGCACCAGCAGCCTCCATCCCATTTACGAAACGGGCAGAAGCTCGTTAAAAGTATGGGGGATGCCGTTTCGTTATTTTAAAACCCTACCGGGTTTGAAAATGTGTTTTGTAATCATTTTGTAAGCTAAAAATAACGAATATTTAACGAATTACAAAATTAACGAACGAAACCGCCCAGGCCTATGGAATACCATTGGGTGACCTTAGACAAGTTACACTCTCTCAGCCCTAGAGAACCTTCTCTGAACAAATCTTGTCAGAAATCCCTAAGGTTTGTGTTGACTTGGAAGCATATAGTAAGCTCCAAAGGCTGTAGGCTTTGTGCATTTTGGTATGGTACATGACTCAGGTGCAAGCCATTCTAATTAAATTGAACTACAATTTTGGAATAATGTATGTATATCTGTCTCTGGCTTTGGAGGCCTAAAATTTTCTTTGTGATTTTGAAATGTAGCCATTAGACAGCAGAGTGCCAAGATGTCCTGAATCATGAAAAATAATCAGTTTGTGGATTAAAGGAGAAAAAGTTATAGCAATTATCATGGGGTTTTTTTTTCATTTCAATGAATTCTATCAGAGAATGAATTAGTGGTCATGGCAGTTAATTATAATTAAAATACATATTAAATGAATGAATCTCATTTGGGAAAATCCATTTTGACACAGCAGTTGTTTCTTGTCAGTTCAATGAGTTGCACTCAGGAGATTTTTCTCCTGGCTATAATCTACATGCATCAAATGCTAATTTCTTTTACACACAGCTGGCTTTTGTCTGAATGTGTACAAGGTGTGATACAAGATATGCATCTGTGGATCTCTCCTGTATTGATCTGTAATGGGGTGATGTACATTTAAAAGTACATCAGGAACATATATATGTGCAAATATTGATTTGACAAACTCATAATACTGCAGTAATCATACGGATGACATTATCAACCCCTCCTTCTATATATACAGGTTCTCTTGTTCCTTATCTGAAACTCTTAGGATCAGAGGTATTTTGGATTTGTTTTCAAATCTTGGAATACTTGTATTTGCATTTCAGTACATTATGATATATCTTGGATGTGGGACCCAAATCTAAACAGGAAATAAATTTATCTTTCATATATGTCTTATACACATAGCCTGAGTGTAATTGTATACAATATTTGTCATAATTTTGTACATGAAACATGGTTTGTGTACATGGAACCATTCAGAAGCAAAGGTATCATTATCTCCACCACTCATGTGAACAATTCTGGATTTTGGAGTATTTCAGATTTTTGAATTTTTGAATTAGCTGGTAATTTTTGTTGTTTGTTGGACTTCGTCCCCAACTAAGCTGCCCCGAGTCCCTTCAGAGGGATGGTGGTGGGGTATTTATTATTATTATTATTATTATTATTATTATTATTATTATTATTAATTCCAGATAAGTGATGTGCAAGATAATATTTTGACTTTTAATCATAGTTTTGTTTTAAAAGAATGTTGTGATTAGATTGTTTATATACCCGCTTGATTTTATTTTAAAATGAAAATCAATGAGGGAAGAAAGGAAGATTATATTCAGAAACTCTAAACAACTCAATAGAAAAGAACCTGTTTCATAGATCAGTGGTATCCAAATTTAATGTTAGTATCTAGGGCTTAATTAGAATCCGGATTTAACAAATCTTATCCCTGAACTTTCACCGAGGCTGTCTTTTTCAATCAGCATGTGGAATGAAAGAAATAGCCCTCTACACATCATACAGGGAAATGTTGGCTGTTGAGATTTCTCTCAATAATGGAATCTTGAATGAGGCACATTCTAGGTTATAAGGAGGGAGAACAACATTAAGAGCTTTTATAACATCCATACCTGTTCCCTGACTTAAAATAGCTGTTTGTATATAGCTAGTGGGAATGGACAAACAGTTTACATTGCAGAGAGTAGGGGTTCACTCAGCAGTTACAACTCAGCAAGAGCTCACGGGGTTGAAGTCTACAAACATTTTTGATGAGCAAAGATCATAGAATCATAGAATAATAGAGCTGGAAGAGACCACAAGGGCCATTTAATCCAAGTCCCTGCCAGGCAGGAAACACAATCAAAGCACTCCCGCAAGATAGCCATCCAGTCTCTGTTTCAAGGCCTCCAAGGAAGAAGCTTCCACCACACTCCAAGGAAGAGAGTTCCATTGTTGAACAGGAAGTTCTTTGCAATATTCAGGTGGAATCTGCTAGTGTATCAGCACACTAGAATATGACATAACCTGACACCATTCACCTATTCCCTCAGATTTTAACTGCATTTCTCCTTGCACTCTCCTTTTCCCACTATGTTTAACTGCATTAATGGAATTGATTTTTCCATTAATGATGTATTGTTATGAGTGACTGCCCTTTTGTAATCAAAAGTATTCTGAAGTGGCTTGTTTTTGAGTGGGCATTTCAAAAATTAAAGAAGTCCTGCTTCTGTGAAAAACTAGGGACTTTCGTGACTTCTGGGGTGAGGACTAATGGTAGATTGAAGCCCCCGCACTAGCTCTACAATAGAGAATGCTTAAGCAGCAAAATAAGATGGTTCGGAAGCAAGTTCCATCCAGAAAAAAAATCTGGATTATTAGAGAGCATGAGATCTTTTACACATACTCTGGAACACACACTCCATGCAAAGATAGTAGAATCTGCAGTGGTTAGAAGTTAACTGAGCAATAAGTGAGTCTTGGAAACAACATCAGGCTCAGCTGCCTGAGTAAGCTTTTAATGGATGCAGGCCTTATGAAAATCCTTACTTTAACTATCTAATTTGAGAATCAAGGGAGTCCTTCCAGTTGGAGCCTCGGGGTACTTCCGAACAGTGCCAAAATCCATGTTTTAAAAAGTGGGTTTAATAATCCCGGGACCTGATAGCAGATTCACACAGAGACATATCAGACCCAGGAAAATGTCCCCTGCTGTCCTCACAGTCTTCTTGTGAAGCAGATCAAGATGGAGGGTGGATGGGGCACATCCGGTGGAGTTTTAAAAAAATGACTATGTTATGTTGCTAAACTGTATATACACATGTGAATACCTTAATATAAATATAAACACATTTGCATGTGTACATATGAGGTCCAGCGCATAATGGAAGGATATTTTTTTTAAAAAATCTTTGATTACAGACAATTTGATTTGATCACACACTCAAATCTTTGGTTTTTGTAGGCCTCTGTTAGGAGTTTCGGGACCCAACAGGAGCACAGTTTCCTAAACTTTAGGTGTTCAGTGATCAAAGAAGGGCGACCGGAATGGTCCTCATCATGGACGTTGTCACGGCCATCTTTGAATTGTCGTACCCACTTACACACTTTGCTTTCACTCATAACAGTATCACCGTACACTTCACAAATCTGTAGATGAATTTCTGCAGCAGGCAGGTTCCTTGCTGACAAAAACCTCACATGCGGAGGGTGAGTTGATAGTCTTAAACATTTTTAAAGCACAGAACAGAACCATACAGGTTAGCTACAGAGTGGAAACTGAGCACAGTTGTTCCCGAGGCATGCCGGTACACGACGCACACGCTCGTTGCGGTATGCGTGCGAACTACAAGTGTCTACAACAAAATGGACCTTACTTAAAAAATACCCCTCGTACATTGTGTGAAACTTATTTGTATTGTTCTTTCTGCTAGATGATCTATAATGGTTTGCACTAATATTGTTCGGGGAGCATTCTGTGTTTGAAAGATTTGCAAGCCCATCAAGTGAGGTTAGCTATCACAAGAAGTAAAAAAATCATTACATAGTGATTTGGTTTAGCTCTTGATATGGTGCTGTGGAAAAACTTTCCAATAAATCTTAATCTGTTTTAGAGTCCACGTGATTTTACTCAGATCTCAATCACAACTGTGTGGTGGAAATCTTTTGTCCTTGTACCTCAAGATTGACTGTTACTGGGAATATCAACAAGTGGCGACAGTGTTTTTGCTTTGGAGTAAATTAAATTTGGTGGCTTGGTAGCTCTATCTAAATGGATTGCGTCTACTAGATTTCAGATAAAAATGGCCTGGAAGGATATGAAATTAGGATTCGAGGTTTGGGCACATTCCTGTAAATATTAAACAGCAAAGATTGTTGGCTCAAAATTGGCCCAAATGTGATCAGAATACTAGATGCCCAAACGATCATGAATTCAACTACAATTCTATCCTCATTTTGAGATCTACTGGGGATGCCCTTCTCTTGGTTCCACCACTGACTCAAGCATTGTTAGTGGGGACAGTAGGCTTTCTTGGTGGTGGCCCCCCGACTCTGGCCCCTCTCCCTAGAGAGATTAAATCAGCCCCCACTCTCCAAGGCTTCTGGACTAGTTTAAAAACATGACTTTTTAGGGTATGATTGTTGTCAGAATGTCATAAATATTGATTCATATTAAAGCTAATTTTGTAGATTTTCTTAAGATAAATTTCTGAAATACACAGATGTCCACATTTGACAATGAATGTCTTTTCTGGACCATGATGTATTCTGATCTTATTTCTCCTCTGATTCCTTGGGTATTTAAATTATATATGTTTTTCATTCTTTTTTTTTCCTAGTTGGATATACAATGAATGATCTTATTTTTGAATGGCAAGAAAATGGTGCTGTACAAGTAGCAGATGGACTCACTTTGCCACAGTTCCTGCTGAAAGAAGATAAAGATTTGGTTTACTGCACCAAACATTATAACACAGGTAAGATATATTTTTAGTATATCGGTAATCAATAGAACATCTGAGACTTTACTTGTAGAATTTTTCAGTAACATATTCAAAAGATATAACTAGAGAGCAGCAGTAACCTGTGGAAGCAGATGACATTTCATAATAAAGGTAAAGGTTTCCCCTTGACATTAAGTCTAGTCAAGTTTGACTCTGGGGGGGGGGGTGCTCATCTCTATTTCTAAGCCGAAGAGCCAGTGTTGTCCGTAGATGCTACCTAGGTCATGTGGCCAGCATAGCTGCATGAAGTGCCATTACCTTCCCGCCAAAGTGGAACCTATTGATCTACTCACATTTGCATGTTTTCGAACTGCTAAGTTGGCAGAAGTTGGGGTTAACAATGGGAGCTCACCCTGTCCCATAGATTTGATTCTGCAGCTTAGCAATTTAACCTACTGCACCACTGCAGCCTATACTGCAGAGGTTTCATACTGGATATTAGGGCTGGGCAACCACGGAAAAATTTGTTTCTAAACTCGATTCATTTTTTGGGGTTTTTTTGCATTTCGATATTTAAAAGAATTCCGAAATTTTTCTTTAAAAAAGTTCGATATTTACAAAATTTCGTAAAATTACGAAACGAATACGAAACGAATACGAATCGATTCGTTAATGGCGGGCGTGACCGTGCAATACGCTAAAAAACCTCCATATGGGACAGGGGGAACTTCTGAAGCTTCCCTCTCCCTCTGTTGTTGACTGTTGGTGTGATATTTATAATTTTTTTTCACTGATTAAACAAACAACAGCTATAAAACTTGCCCCAGACATGCGGAAATAATAACGAAACAATTACGAAACGAATATGAAACGAATACGAAACGAATACGAAACAAATACGCAGCAATTACAAAACGAATTGAAAATTCGTTTCGTTTTTTAGATGCTCCTGAATGGTTCGTTATCGCTTCATAACAAAAAAATAACAAATTTTTAACGAATTACGAAATTACGAAACGAAACCGCCCAGCCCTACTGGATATTTATTTTAAGGCACTTACAATGAGGTGCATGGATATCATAATAGCCACCCTCACATGATAGCAAAAAATATGATAATGTCAAATAAGGGACATCACCATCTTTAAGAGAAATAGGTATGTGTTTATATGGTCACTTTTTCTAAGGTGATTTAGTGGTGGAAAGACTGAAGTGAATGTAGCCTACGTCTTATTCTGAATTTTCCCTCAAACTTTAAAGGAACTATTCATTATACTGAACAAATTTTGTATATATGATTCAGCACCTTGGAAAACTCCTTTGATCCATTGTACTGAAATCCACAAAAGAGTAATACTTTTTTCACCAACTAATATGCAGAACCTATACCACACAAGGTTTTGAAACTTCACTGACTTCTTCATGAGGCAAAGATATCAAAAATCACACAAGAGAAGAGAAATGACAATTTTAGAGTCACAGGCCTCTGTTTTGTCTTAGATGTTATTTCTAACTCACTGAAATGGAAAATACTAGCTGTCTCTGTGTAATTTTTATTATTATATTTTATTATATATCACTTGGTTTGTAAATTGCCACTAAAAGGATAAATGCATACATTGCAGAACAGAACTCTGTTAAATGAAAACATTAAATAACTTATTTAATCATTAAATGAAGTAAGCAGTAAGCAAGTCAATAGAAATTGGTATACATCAAGCTTTTCCATAATTAGGTAGAAATAAAAACCACTCTGTAACTGCATCAAGCACTGCTTGGTAAAGACAAACAATGCTAATTCCATTAACAGTTCTTCTCTATTGTAAACAGGCAAGTTTACATGTATTGAAGTCCGATTCCACCTCGAAAGACAGATGGGTTATTACCTCATTCAAATGTACATACCAAGTCTCTTGATTGTCATATTATCCTGGGTGTCATTTTGGATCAATATGGATGCAGCTCCAGCCAGAGTTGCTCTAGGTATAACAACTGTACTTACTATGACAACACAGAGTTCAGGGTCACGGGCCTCACTCCCAAAGGTATGCAAACTATTGGACTTCATTTTCATTTTGGTTGAATGTGGACCATTGTGTTTTATTTTAGCATCAAATGCTCAAATATTCAGAGCCTTGAAACATATGTTCATTGTAAGATATGTATACCTTGACTGGAGGAGGAAAGGTAAAAAAAGGGTCTTTCCATCTTTTAAATCAGGCTAATTACTTTTGTGATTTTGACTTTGCCAAATACATAATAGAAATTTATATTAACATTGAAAGCTCATTAACATAGGACAATTATTTATTGACATGCTGCCTTCCCAACTACCTATCCTCCTGATCTCTTAGGATCACTTGGAAGTATCTTCTTCATGATAGATTTTAATTTTTAGAAAACAAAGTGCCCATTAAAATACAATTCTGTTAGCTGACCCATAAATGTAAACCTTCCTTTGGTGACTGAGGAAGACTTTACAGATTTCCTGAGATGCTTTCTTTCTGAGGCAAACAGAAAGCCGATCTTCATGGTTCACACAATAGTTACCACATGTGTTGTTGAAGGCTTTCATAGCCAGAATCACTGGGTTGCTGTGAATTTTCTGAGCTGTATGGCCATGTTCCAGAAGCATTCTCTCTTGACATTTCACCCACATCCATGGCAGGCATCCTCAGATGTTGTGAGGTCTCACAATCTCTGAAAATGCCTGCCATAGATGTAGCCGAAACATCAGGAGAGAATGCTTCTGGAACATGGCCATACAGCCCAGAAAATTCCCAGCAACCCATTTACCACATGTTTTGGTTTTCCTCCAATAATAATTAGAACTATGGAGAAAGAGCAAATTTACATCACCATTGGCTATATCATGATAGATACTTGTAAGCGTCATAAGCAAACAGTGAATATCAGCCCCGTCTTTATAAGATTTTTTTTTTAAAAAAAAAATGGGGAAATATTTTTGGGATTGAATATTTCACTTTAGCACATAACACAATTTTCTTTTCTTTTATGTTTTTATTTTAGAGGGAAATTTTATGATGCCAAGGAGAACATCTTGGGGCCACAGGAAAGATTTTCCTCCTAGATTTTAAGCAAAGCTCCAACCCTGGAAGGGAGATCTTCTCTCTGACTCCTCCTTTTGACTTCCTCCAACTATCCTAGCCATTTCTATATGGATCTTTTACAAATTAGAACTCCAGTCCAGAATGGGGTAGGTTAGGAATGTGACAGTGAGCCCTTAAGAGATACAACAAAATCCCAAATCCCTCATAGAACAGTCAAAATGTGCAAAGTGCATCTTGCAAGATTTTGAAGCTCCACTGGCTTCGTCATCATGTAACAGATGTTTTTAAAAATCATACAGGAGAAGAAAGTTGATGATGTTAGAGTCACATTGTATCAGATGTTGTTTCCGTTATAATTCAGTTGTTCTGGAGGGATTTCAATGTAGAAAAGGCCACTTACCTTCTTCAGGGACAAAGGGCAATGAAAGACAGTTAATAAAATTTGAACTCCATTAAAGGTAACTTCTCTTGAGATCCATGTAGTTCTTGCCCTGCATAAAGCTAAAGGCTTCCTTCTTAGACAGAGAACATTGCATTTCTCAGCAACTCCATGTACTAGCCAATTATAGTTCAAATGAAAAAGATAAACTTTAAAAAAGATAGAGATTTAAAACCTCAAATAGTGAAGTCACTGTCCATTAGTCCTCTCTTCTTAAAGTCTTCCCTGTTGTGGCAAAATGTGATATCTTCAAATCCAGGAAATACGTTTAGGAATAGCTGAGTTTTTCCCATTCAGACATACAAGTTTAAAAATAAAATGCATAATCCATGACACAAAATCCTGGTGCAGGTCTTGCATTTAATTTGGACTTTTCCCCTCCTTATGATGGCATTTGAACACATTGGCTATAGTAAATCTGGAGCACAATCTTTCCTGAACTGAGAGGATGGTGGACACATGTGCACAATGTGAAATGGAGAAAAGCAAATTTCAAGAGAAAATAAAAAATAGCCCTAAATCAGGCTCCGATGCTGAGAACTTAAAGAGGTTTTTGGCAGGAATGTTATCCTCTTTTCCCTCTTTGCTCACTTTATGCCCTATTTGACATATCTATTTCTACGAACCAGCACGGGCTCTGAGATTGACAGGGGAGGCTCTCCTCTCAGTCCCATTATTGTCTCAAGCACGGTTAGTGGTGACAAGAGAGAGGGCCTTCTCTATGGTGGTCCCTCCGCTCTGGAATACCCTCCCAAAAGAGATTAGATTAGCCCCCACCCTTTAATCCTTCCATTCCAACCTGGAAACATGGATGTTCAGACAGGCCTTTGGCCTTGAGTAGGTTGAATGTGCCCATATGAAGCTGACATTTGGCACCTTGTGAATTGATGGCAGTTAGTTTTATCTACTGCTGTTTTGAAATTGTATTATTTTGATTTTATGCTACATGTGTTGATGGGGGGGTTGATGTTATAATTTTTATAATTTGTTTTATACTTTTGTACCATTTTTCCCCTGTTGTATGTTATATGTGCACCCTGGAGTGCCTTGTAAGCCGCCCCGAGTCCCTTTGGGGAGACAGTAGTGGGATATAAATAAATGTTATTATTTATTATAGTTCATGATGGGCCATCACATCTGGAGATGGGTTTTATGGGTCAGAGTCAAAGAGATGCAAACATTACTTTCTATATACTTTCTTGAGTTGTTCTGTTAGGATCCAATTCACCATGTATATGCTTGTGGAAGTCAATTTGATGAAGCTGAGAGTGTATCTGTACTTGAGCAAAAAAAGACCTTTTTATGAAGTGCAAAACATAGAAAAATAGCCTAGTTTTGTAGATTAGCCCTTGTTTTTCCACTTGCAATGTCAGTATGAACACTGTGTTTTGTGATGTTGTATTTCATCCTAAACATTTTACATTTAATAGGACAACTAGTTTAAGGGAAGTGCTTTTAGGTTAAACTTTTTTTCTTTAAAACAATACTTTTAGTAGACATATAGATTTGTCCTTTGCCCCTTTTATACAGCTAGTTTCTACTCTGGTGTGAGGAAATACATTTGTTTTCCCTTGACACTAGGAGACACTAAACTTTCCATCTGTATTTCTAATACCAGCAGTCTTCTACTCTGTGCTATCTATAGGTATCATACGTCAAGGCTATTGACATATGGATGGCGGTTTGCCTGCTTTTTGTATTCTCGGCACTTCTGGAATATGCAGCTGTAAACTTTGTGTCAAGACAACATAAAGAACTTTTGAGATTTCACCGAAAGAGGAAGAAGAACAAGGTAAATATGTTAAGCCTAAGTTAGAAAAATACAGAAAGGGGGAGGGGGGCTGCCAACCCTGTAACGATGGGATTCTATTGACAAAGTGGCTGTACAAATAACATGTCAACACAGGATGACAATCTCTCATTTGCATGAGGTCAGCACAAGGCCTCGGTAATTCACAAATCCCACTGAAACCTTCACAGTCAGGATTAAAAAGGGATTTGAGTGGAGAGCCATGTACAAGCTTTCTGCACAGACTTTAATTTCTCCCTCAGAGAATACTAGCACATTGACCCTTTATGATAGAGGATTGAGGTAGGAGATGTGTTAAAATAATTTCCAGCTTTGGTCCAATGGAAGGCTTCTGTGGTGCATTTAGAGTTTTTATAAGCCTTAAAAAAAAGCAATGACACAGAGATTTTGCTTTTATTATTTGTTCGTTTTTTAAGTGACAAAGTAATTGATCCTTTGTGTGTGAGAGAGAAGCAAGGAAAAAATAATTTCAGCTCAATTAGATACTGCAAGTATTTTAAGTCGATGCCAGATTTTGATTTGCAGATTTGAAACGAGTTAATCTTTTATCTGTTTCATAGTAAATTGAGATTGAGCATTTGGGCTATTTGCAAAGCAAAGCAGGGGATAATTCTCCTTCCAAGATCATGATTATAAAGCAGTGGTTCCCAACCTGTGGTCTGTGGACCACCAGTGGTCTGCAAGAACTAAAATATGGTCTGCGGTCTACACCGTTGCAACAAGAGCTACTGCTCTCACGAAACCCCCTTATAGTGCCGAGGCTAGGAGCCCCGGATGGTGCAATGGGTTAAACCCTTGTGCCAGCAGGATTGCTGACTGAAAGGTCAGTAGTTTGAATCCGGGGAGAGTGGTTTGAGCTCACTCTGTCAGCTCAAGCTCCCCATACGGGGACATGAGAGAAGCCTCCCACAAAGATGGTAAAATATCAAAATATCCTGACATCCCCTGGGCAATATCCTTGCAGATGGCCAATTTTCTCACACTAGAAGTGACTTTCAGTTTCTCAATTCGCTCCAGACATTTAAAAAGTGCCAAGACTTATTAAATATGGTTTGCTGTGGGTGAGAAGATGGCAACTACTGGGTGGCATATGTTCTGTAATCAGAAACTAGAGATGATGTGGTCTATCCAATGCAATTTTCTAAATCAGCACCCCAAATAATCAAACTGAATCTAAAGTTGACCAAAAACCGATCTGTAACCTTTTTGCTACTCATGTTGGAGAGTAGTCCCTGGTCAAAGTGATCCCTGGTTTAAAAAAAAAAAAGGTTGGGAACCACTGCTATAAAGAAAACAGTTCTTTAAACTATAGGCAGTAAGGCTACTTCACATCAATCCGATGGAAGATGATTCAGTTTGTTTTTCCTGCTTAAAATTCTAGTGCCCGTTGTTCCTATCATGCTCTGTAATATCTGTTTAATAATCTATATATACCAGAAAGAAAGAGTTATACAGTAGTTATAGTTACAGTTTTGTTTTGTTTCTTTTAAGTTCCAGTTTGAGACTCAGCTTCTCATTTCAGTTTCTGTTTCACAGTTTTGTTCTATCTCTTTTATTCTTCTCCTTCCACCCTTCCTTTCTATTTTTACTGTGGCTGGGAGGATGCAGAGCTTTCTGGAGCATAGCATTAAAAAAAACACCCTGAGGTGAACGGAAAATGCAGGGTGGAGATCAATAATGGCACGATGGTGGCCTGGCCATGGAATGGAAGAGCTATAGTGCTTTTTCATAAGCCATTAACTTCCTACAGGTGGTGAGCAATGAATCCCATATTGAGACATGTATCAGGTATTTAATGAATGAAGAGTGAAACTTAGGCTTTAAGACTGAAATTCATCCTTCTCCTGAAGCAAATTTAAGACACAGAGCACTTTAGATACCACTGTTTCATAAAGAATTTTCTAATAGCAGATGTCACCCATATCAGAAGAAGTTAATTGCCAATATTCTTTTTGCTACAAGATAAGATACACATTTATTTGCATGTTTACACAGATGGTTTATAAGCTTATGTGTTTGCAGATGACCTAGTCAGAGGATTTAACAGCACTACTTGATAAGTTCTAATGATCTAGATGAGAGTGTGCCAAAATCCATACAAGTGAGAAACTATATCATGCTGAAGTACATTTGTAAGAAAATAATAATGCAGCACAAAAAATAATTTGTTTAATTTCATTTTTAATAGCAGTTCATGTTCTCTTTAGCAAATCAGACCAAGCAGCTGGATTTCATTAACTCCCTTTATGAACCATCTGACGGTGGCTAAACAGTTTTCTCTAGCTTAAGACTTTGATTTGCATTTTCTTGATCTGCAACTGGAAGAAAAGAATCTAACCAGAAAATGAGCAGAGATCGAGCAATAAAACAAACATATGAGTGACTCAAAGGGACTTGTTTCTACATGTCATATTTCTCTTATGTTTTTGGAGCAAGATAGTAAGCAGATCATTGATTTTTAAAATAAAAATGAGATGATATCCTAATTCTATTTTATTTTGTAATTTTTGGACACTCTTCTAGTACAGTTTCCCAACCTGTGGTCCATAGACCACCAGTGGTCCCCAAGAACGAAAATATGGTCCATTGCCTCACCATTACTACACCGTTGCCTCAAAACCATGTGGCAACAGGAACAACTGGTCTCACTAAGCCCTCTTATAGTGCCGAGGCAACATGAATGTTGGGAGGGGAGAGGCTGATTACTCATGAAAGATTACTACTACCACATCAGCTCTAGATTATTAAATGTGGTTTTCAGTGGGTAATCACATGGCAACTACTGGATGGCATATGTTCTGTATCAGAAACTAGACTTAATGTTGCCAATAACCAAACCAAATCTAAAGTTGACCAAAAACTAATTTGTAACCCTTTTGGTACTAATGTTGGAGAGTGGTCCCAGGTCAAAGTGGTCCCTGGTCAAAAAAAGGTTGGGAACCACTGTTCTAGTGGAATAGCTCTGTACATCACTGTAAGAGATATCATACAATCATACAAACATGATATTTAGATATTTTTTCCTCAGTAAATTATACCTTGATGGAGATATGTTTGACCTTTGCCTGACTTACAGTGTAGATTAATTTCAGATATACACACTAAAATTGATCCTGCCTACAAACTTCAGGGGGGAAAAAAAACATGGATAGATAATGTACTGTATTTTCTTATTCCTGACTGACTTAATAGCATGTTCACAACAAGAAATATTGTGAGGCATTTTTAAGGATTATCAATAATCTAAACATGAAAAAAACCAGAAGGGATTTTGAAAAAAACGTTCCAAGCAGCATTCTTTTTGAGGGGGAGACACATTGTAAAAATATCATTCCATAACTCATTGTTAATAAATTCATACTTACTAGATGAAATCTAAAGAAATTTATGATTGCTACATCTAAAATTTAAACCCATTTTGCCCTTTATACAGCTCTTACAAGGAAGTGCAGAGAACAAGTTGGAGATGCATCATACATAATTGATACATATGGATATTGCTTTGCTTGTTGACATTTCCAGCCTAAAAGAAGCAAGCATGCATACTAATTTTGTACTGTGTTCTAAGGCTATATTTTAATACTCTTTATTTACTTTTCAGATGCCTTCAGTTTTTTAACTGAAGTCACAGTGTGACATCCTTTAGAGACTGCATATCAGTTGGTGCACTAGGCTGACTACATCTTTTTGTTTTATTTTCACTCAATAATCATATGTTCTTTTCCCCTTTTTCTTTCCTTTCATTTCCTTATATATATATATTTTTTGTGACCCACCTTCCATTTTGATGGAAAGCTTGATGGAAATGAATCATTGCGGCGTAGCAATGGCTTGAGAAGTGCAGAACTCATAGACGGATCTTTGGCTCAAATCTACAATATAAATTTAAGGGTAAACTATGTAGATGTCCCATTTGTCATTAACTACAGCCCAATCCATTTGTCTGAACTAATGTCTTTCCATATGAACTCTGTTCAGTTCCATATGACTTCTATGTGGTTTCTTGAAAGGTACATCCTTGCTTCATAATGAATCAAAACTTGACTAATGTTACTTTGACTTATACAGTTTATATTGGCATCTCTTCAATAGCAAAGATGCACTTAAAATTAATACATTAAGTCTGCAACCCTATACTTTAATATCTGAGAGTGCTTAAATATATAGAACTGTATTTCAATACATAAGTCATTCTCTTAAATACTTTTAACAGAACATTATATGTTTGTTATGGTGTTGGTCACTTCAAGTAATTTCCAACTCATGGAAATCTTAACGTGGGGTTTCCTTGGCAAGTTTTTTCAGAAGGGGTTCGTCTTTGTCATCATTTGAGACTGAAAGAGTGTGACTTGCCAAAAGTCACCCAGTGAGCTTTCATGGCTGAGCAGGGACTCAAACCATGGTTTCCAGAGTTATAGTCCCACATTCAAACCACTATACCATCTTGGTCATACTACAAATGAAATACAAAAAAAAACAAAGAAATTATGAATTCCTATGCTGATATAACATTCAAGCAGTCCCAAGAGCTCCCTGTATTCTCCAGTCAAGTAAGAATTAGAATATACGGTATTTCATGTCCAGGGTTCATAAATGTCACTTTTTCTACTCTGCATTTATTCAAAGTTTCCATTCCCGTTCAATATCTTGGAAAGATGCATGAATGTAGTCTGCAGATGCCCACTGTAAAATGTTGTAATGTATTCAGTCTCATTCACACTGTGACCCTGTGATTCCCTGAGAATATTGGGATTATTAGATGTTTATCATTGCTTGTTGCTATTTGTTGCTATTATTCACCAAGCCGACTTTAACTTGTGCCCCATAAACAAGAAACTTCCAAGATAGATTTGAGTGCAGAATGCATTTCTTCCATTTCCCTCATTTTCTTCAACACCTTCGATGCTTCAGAAGACCATAACGGTAAGGGGCCTTCCGGTACAAAGCCCCACCCAACAAGAAAGCAATTGGCAGCCAATCTCAGTTCCTCTTCTGCTTTTCAGCATCGCAGTTTAATAGTTTTTATTAATCCCCCAGCAAACAAAAAGAAAAGCCTTATTCCCTGAGAACTGCTACCAATTACCTCTCCTCTTCCAGGAGGCCATAGCTCTTCCTTACCTGGAAGTCGGAAGCCTCTAAAATGCCTTGGAAAAAGTATGTGGCTGCTGGTGTGGTGCAGCCCAGGAGAGAAAGTACATGTGTGCCTGCCTGCCTGCAACTGAGCTCCTCTCCTCTACAATAAGACACATCTTTAAGAACTTGCCTCCTTGCCTTGCAAAGAGTGCATGTGACATGAAGGCCTCTGAGAGAAAGCGTGTTTACCTCCCTGCAGCACCTCTCCTCTAGAGTAGAAGCAGCTTAAATGACAGGAAGGGGAGCCTGGGAAGCCCCCCCCCCAATAATGGGCCAATAGAAAATGGATCTTTTGGTACCCCAGAGCAAAAACAGATATCTGCCCTCCCAAATTCAGGAGGATCCCAAAAACAGAGCGGGGACCCCACTGAAAGACAAGACATGAAACAGGTCAAGGTTTATCCAGATTGCACAAGCCTATTCTAAGAATCCGAGTCATCACCTGCCATGCTCAAGTATTACAATCTCAGGATTTTGGCTTTCTTGACGGAATCAGTCCACATGTAATGCCATCTTTTTCTTTCACTTTACAAAGCATCATTATCTTTTCCAATGAGTCATTCATCTCTTAGAAATGCCCCTTTCCAATAAATGTCACCCAGCTTGGACACCACAGCAGTTTGCCCCACATCAGAATACACTCCCTTGCTTGAACAATGAGCTACCACCATTTTCATGATTTCTTCCTTTCTGTTGAAATTGTTCACATGCTTGTGGATTTCAATGGCTTCTCTGTGTAATCTGACATGGTGGTTGTGAGAGTGGTCCAGCATTTCTGTGTTCTCAGATAATATGCTGTGTCCAAGTTGGTTCATCGGGTGCTCTGCTATGGCTGATTTCTCTGGTTGAAGTAGTCTCCAGTGCCTTTCATGTTCCTTGATTCGTGTTTGGGCGCTGCGTTTGGTGGTCCCTATGTAGACTTGTCCACAGCTGCACCTCCTGCAGAGGTGAGAGGATCCCTCTTGTCCTTTGCCGAATGTAGCATTTGTTGGATTTTCTTGGTGGGTCTGTAGGTGGTTTGTATGTTGTGTTTCCTCATCAGCTTCCCTATGTGGTGAGTGGTTCCCTTGATGTATGGCAAAAACACTTTTCCTCTGGGTGGATCTTCATCTTTATGAAAATGAACAAAATCTGGCTACCAGTATTAAAAAGCTCAAAAATTACAACAGTGAAACAACAGAGAGTAAACAATCAGGCACATCAAATCACTCTCAACAAAAGATTCCCCCCAGGCACTTCCAAGCCATGAAATGCTAATCAAGGTGGTCAGTTGAAACATTCACACCTGGCTCCAGCAGACAAAAGTTCTTTGTCCCACCCTGGTCATTCCACAGATATATAAACCCATTTTTCTACTTCCAACAGACCTCACTACCTCTGAGGATGCTTGCCATAGATGCAGGTGAAACGTCAGGAGAAAATACCTCTAGAACATGGCCATATATCCCGGAAAAACCTACAACAACCCAGTGATTCCGGCCATGAAAGCCTTCGACAATACATTTCTCAAACTCTTCTTTTTATTCCATCTCCCCATTATTTGTTTGTTTGTTTGAGTTATATCCTTCTTCTCTCTTGAATGGGGCTCAAAGTGGCTTTAAACAGCAATTAAAGCTGAAGTTCTAAAACTATGTTGCATACTGAAGATGTTAAAATGCTACTTTTAAGCTATTATGAAAAAAACTTAAAACACACACTACAGTACTCTCATATATGCTATTTGTCTTCAAATGTAGGGAGTTTCAAAGCATCTGAGAGCCCTAGTACAAAAAAAAATATTCACAATTGTGTACTCTATTTTGAACTAACCAACAAGATACCAGCCACTCATAGTCAAATCTAGATGGGATGTTCAGTTACTGGTGCTTTATATATTTTATCTTGATATTAACTTCAACAAAGTGCTATTCCACAAGATTAAAATGTCAAGCTTTGGGGTTTAGGGTTTAGTTTGAATCATGTTTTCACATCTTCCTAACATTTTTTGTTATTCATGTTTATTTGTTAGTAATTCACAGTTTATTCATTTTCTTCGTGTTGGTTCATTTTTCATTTCTTTTTCTTTGTCAAATTGGCAGCAAATCCAGTCTTGAAATGCCTTTGGTGAATAGTTGGGCACCAGTTGCTGTGTACTGTTTATTTGGGGGTTTGTTTGTTTTACAAATTGGTTTGGCTCCATCTACAGGCAGAAGCCAGGTTTTGCTACTGTTGTATTAATATGAATATTTGGCACTTTACTATTTTGATCAAGCAGAACTATAGAATAAAGCATGCAACTTAAAAAAAATTAGACACACGAAAGCCCCATGGAAAATATATTCTTCTGCCAAGCAACAACTTACAAAGGGATATAATAAATTAGCTTGCGTAATTGTCAATATCAGATTCATTTAAAATGTTATATAAAATAATATAAAATTGTGAACAAGATTAGTAAAGCAAGCTTCCTTCTTCTAAAATTATGTTTCATCTTCTCCAGATTGGTGAAACTATTGCAGCCTTCGTGACTACTTTCCTCTGAGAAAAGAAGCCAAAGACTCTTTTGATTATTGATTTTTTTGTAATATTTGTTTAATATGTCACAAGGTGAAAGGAGATGGGTAAGGAGAAGTCAACATTAGTTATAGAGAAGTCTCAGGGCAGTTCTACATAGGCACATAATGCAGGGGTGCCCTGAGTTGCCTTGGTGGCAGGACACCAGCCCAATACCCACCTGTGCTGCTTTGACATGGCTGGGAATGGGACCCCTTCCAGCCCTCCTTGCACCCTCAGTTTTTCCCAGGAGAAGAAAGAAAATCCACTTACCTTATTCTTACAGTATTCTGGGATCCCACATAGGGGACCAAGATTACTCTCACCACTCTCCCACCACAAGGGAAGATCCAAATTTTGTAGACCTTTCCCGTGTTTTTCTAACTTGGAGCACAGTTATATTAAGCGTCTTACCCTGGGTTAATTCACATCAGCTTGCACACATTGTGTAGATGCACATAGGTTGATGTGAAACCCATTTCTTTCGATGGCAATGTAGAAGTGACTTCAGTGAAGAAATTAAAGAAAAGCTCACTATGATGTCCCTTATTATTTTGTCTTCCCAGCACTTAGAACAGCTGCTTCCAAATGACAGCTGTTGCAAAAGCAAAGTGTATATTAGAATCTTATATTAATATAATTAGCATTTGGAACAGATTTTATAAGACACTGTCCAACTCATTCTGTATACTCATTTAAAGTTTTCTGCTTGAGACTTTTTTCTTTTCCTTTTTTAGCTTTATCTCCCACAATTCCCCAGTTGAAACACTTTTCATGGACATTGGTTAAATCAGTAGTTCTCTCTGACAATTTAACTCTCAGAGTTTACATCATGATTGTCTTTAAGAGTGCTATCTGGCATCAGCACATCAATGTCTATTTTATTCTCAATGATTTTTCAAGCAAAGACACAGGATAGCATAGTTATTGGCAGAGATGCAGTCTATAATACACACTGTTAATGTAGTGACCAGTCCTAAAACATATATTGTCCAACTGTAAGCAGAAAATTTATTTCTAGGTGGTTGGATATAAAGTTTCTCATGATACTCTATAACCATCACGTTTGATTTTAATAGTTCTCAGACAGGCAGGTATCAATGGATACTTTGGATTAGCAAAATTGTGATCGGAATGAATGTAAATAGATTGAGAAGCAGCAAAGCAATTTTGGGGGTTATTCAGATCACTATATTTTCAACCATGGATTACCGAAAAACAAAGAAAAGAATGAAATACAGAGCACTAATTTTCATGCATTTGAACTAAGTATAATCCTAGTGATCCAGATCTTCATAATCTCCCATAAAGAATGTTTATATTTTCTTATATTGTGTCTTTTACAGGATGATGACATGAGGGAGAATCGGTTCAGCTTCACAGGGTATGGCATGGGACCGCCATGTATACCAGCAAAAGATGGAGTGGCTCCAAAGGGGCCTAATAATCCAACTCAACCTGCACCAAAAAGCCATGAAGAAATGAGGAAGGTATTCATCGATCGAGCCAAGAAAATTGACACCATCTCCCGAGCCTGTTTTCCATTAGCTTTTCTGATATTCAACATTTTTTACTGGGTCATCTATAAAATCGTTAGGCATGAGGACATTCACCAAAAACAAGATTAAGATTTCCAGTTCTGGTGGTACCATTCAGTGTATAAATACTGATAGGCTCACAAAGGGCACGAAGGGGGGGAAATCATATTTGACTTGCTATGCGAAGTCATAATAGGTAGAACAATGGCATCCTATGAAGATACAGTACCTGCTACAACAGTGTTTTTACTTGTTATTAAGTAGAAGTAACCAACTTTTGCAAAGTGAAATCACAACATTCTCTAGACTAAACTCTACTGCCAACAGATTTATACATAGTGTTACATAATGGGATAGCATTCTTTAATGTTCCTTGCTACAATTTTTAATTAAATTGTATTTTTAAATATATCAAGATAAACCCAGATGTCTTTAGATAAGTGCCATATTAACAAAGATGCTACTACACTTTTAACTCTCCTTTAAACTTTTTAAGGAAATATCTGCCTTGGTCTCGATTCTGAAAAACATAGCTGTTGGTTCAAAAGGTTTCCCTTTCAAGCAATGAGGCATGTTTTCTAGACTTAAGGACACTGCCAGTGGCTTTTATAACAAGCACAAGACACATTTTAGGCTACATGTTACAAAGAAAAACATCATAAAGAATACTTCATAGTGTGGCAATCCACAAACCACTAACTCAGTGAGATCCCATGGATATTTCTAGTCATGCTACAGTAGTGTTCTGGAACAAGCAGTGTACTGAATGCCAGCTATCAGAATTCTTGTTTCCCCCAGGTATTTTTGAGTCCAGTCCTTTGTGATAGTTGCCAGCCCTGTCACAAATAACTATATATCAGCTCAGTGATAGTATATATATGTGTGCGTATGAATAAGAGAGGAAGATAGCTAGGGAAGCATTGCATCACATCCAATAACATTCAACAGAGTAAAGGTCAGCAGGCTAGGCCTGCTGAGTAGATCCGGCACTTCTCTCTGTCATGTCGCTTACATGATAGAGTAGCCTCAGGTCCTCCGGCGGTTACTATCACCTTCAAGGCCCCAGAGGAGGGAAAATTTTTGGATAAGTCAGAGAATGATAATTAACATTAAAGGTTTAGACGCAGTGGGAAACTGATTTAGAATTAATTACCTACTGATAAACATACTTAGTAAAAATTGCATGCCTTTGAGCTCACAAAAACTTAATTGCACATAAACATACTTAAAATTTGCCTGGAAGTGCTGTCCCTCATGGTCAAAAATATATATAAATGCTTTTTGAGACTTATTTTTCCAGATCTAAGCCAAATTCCAATGTATTTTGTTATAGTAAACATACCGAAATACATCCATATTTTTTGTGTCAAAAGATGTTTGAAATATCCCACGAGACTTACTTTTTTTACCAGATATTTTCTGGTTGGAACAAAATAATATCCCAATGCCAAATACCAATAGATATCTTGGGAGATTTTTTTGTCTGTGCAGTAATTTTACAGAATTCAAGCTACATGTCAGAAATTTGGGGCAGTGTCCACTACTATATACCTGAATGATCTAGAACAGGGCTACTTACAACATCATCAGGTGTAGTCATCTCTGAATCTTCTCCCCATTTCTCCCACGGCCTAAACAAGTCCCACAGAGCCTATCACATGACTCAAGGCAACTTCCAGCAGGACTCTGTGGGGCTTCATTTTGGCAGTGTAGAGAATTGGAGCCCAGAGTGCCATTTGAGAAGTCAGGTGTTAGTCGACTCTAAATGGCACAAAGCAGAGGAAAGACGGACCTCTACAGGGAACATGCGTGAGATGACAGAAGATGGTCCTTGATGAGAGGGAACAGAGTAAGATGGTTGCCTCCACTTTCCCTCTGTTCATGTGATGAAGTCCTTAAACTTTTCCACTCATGACTTCATTCTGCCCCATAAATTTTTATATGGCTGCATTACTCCTATAAAAGTAAATCCTTCTTATAAATAAAAAAAAGACCCCGTCCCATTTCTGTGAAGTTAATAGCTTTTCTTTCAGCCTTTTTGGAATATGACAAAAACATAAATGTTCTAAACATTCATTTTTTAAGATAGCTATATAACTTTTTCATGTTACTCTTAAAGAACATGCATGTACTCTATATACAAGATTACAAATATAGACCAATATCCTATGGAAATGGTAGTACATGCATCTTTCTCCAAGAGAAAAAGAACATAAATTGTATGGTCAAATTATCATAAAAATTTAATAGGCAATGTTGGTCTAAATGTTAACATTTTCATAAAATAGATTTTTAAGTAATGACTGCCTTTCATATTTATTTTAATTTTAATTTTGAACTATATGCTAGAAAGTATGTAGCAAGTAAAGAGTTTAATGTCTCTTCATTTCCTTTTTAAGGTGCTTCAATAGAAGTGATACAACATGTTCTGATACTACTTCTTGGGATAAATTGTGTGGTGATGGGGTGGGGGGTAGCAATGATGGACCTCATCCTGTGGGAAGCCTTTTTTCCATACAGAGTTCCTGAAAAGTATGACCTGAAAACTGCCAAAATGTACAACTACACAGAAAAGCTCAGTGCATCACATTCTTCCATTCTTTTAAAGTGTTTTTGGCCCACATAGCAGGCATCCATTTTTTGTTTTTGTTTTTTTGGTTTTTTTTTTGTTTTGTTTTTTTGCTGTTCTGTGTATTTAGCATATATAGAATAAGGTGTGTTGGTATGTATGTTAAGACAGCCGTTAGGGTTTAATTCAAGAGGAGTGTAGATTTTGAAGGTAATCGTATCCATTATTTGGGAGCACTGAATGAGGTTGATTTGTTGCCATCTCACCCCCAAATAAACGGCTACCCATTGGGGTTACGTTATTTCTGTTCCTTGAGGCTATTATATCACGAGGTCAGCCTGGATGATATATAACCATCACTAGAACTATTTTTATACATCTTAGCAATCCTTTCAGGTGTCAGATACCATCTATACATCTTTTATAAAAACATTCTTTCAAGTCATTACACAGTGTAAATTTCGAATGCTTTGTCCAGATTCTTTCCCATTGTTCTGAGTGTATTTGTTTACCATTTTTGTGCCCACTTAACTATACAATCTTTCACCAGTTCCTGCTCCATTTTATTTTAACAACAATTTATGCAACTTAATTAATTAATTGAAAGCAGTTTCAAGTTCGGGTTCTACTAACTGTCTGTAGGGAAACCATTGTATTGGAAAGTTTTCAGAGATTAGTTCTCTCTTTTTATTCTATACTGATCATTATCTAACACTAACAAATCTTTATAAATTAACCATTTCTCTTTCAAGGCAAATTTCGTTTTAAACAGAACTTCATGTGGAGAGCACAACAATGACTTTCTGTTGTAATATCTTTTCTTATACTTATTCCACATATTTAATAACAATCTCCTTATGTAGTGGTTTTAAAATTAGAGTCTGCCTTTATTTTATCATACCAGAGATAGGCATGAAACCCAAATTTCAGATATTTTCCTTCTAGTTGTAGTAAGCATTCATTTCTCAAGAACAACCAAGTCAAACAGTATGTATGACAGTAGATTTTGAGACTAGGAAGACCTTATTTATTTATTTATTTATTTATTTCATGTCAAAAGCATTGTATACATAAGTATAAGACTGATAAAAATAGAAGGAGCTCAAGCAACTAAATAATTTTGGACCAAAACCAGGCAACAGCAACCACATTCTCTATAGCTTTAAACAATTCTTCCTCTATACATGAGGCAGGGCATTGTGGACAAGTATACAAGTGCGGAGTTATTTGTTCTGCTCCACAGTCGCACAAGGTGGAAGATTCTTTTTGATAGTTCAGTTTTGCCAGGTTGCCTTTTGATCTGCCCAGTCTGCTTCTGAGTCTTGTCGGGGCCATCCAATTGGGATTTCCTAGTTTAGCTGCCCAAAGGGAGGCTCTTGTTGTTGCTGGGGAAACATTAAGAGGAGTGGTGGTTCTCATGAAGCTTTTCCTTTATTTGAATCTTCCAGGAGGAGTCCGAAAGCCATCCAGTGGTTAGCAACAACTTCCCATCGCACATCGGGGGGGGGGGGCAGTGCCAGCTAACTTGAGTCTAGGAAGCCCTAGTCCTCCTCCTTTTTATCATCTTGTAGTACTTGATGTTTTATTGACTGTATGTGTTATTATGGTTGGAAACCGAAACTGGAAACCGGTCTGAGTCCCTCAAGAGAGGTGAGAAGGTCGGTATACAGAACTTTTAAATAAATAAATAATACTTTGAATCTGACCCTAGATCTTTTTCCCTGCAAAATAAACATTGATAGATCTTTTGCCATAAAATGAAATGCCATTCAATATAATTGACAAGACTTGAAATAGAAACAGCAACTTTGTTAGTACATTCATCTTTAGAGCTGATAATCTACCCATAATCTACCCTCGTATTCCTTCAGGATAGGGTTCAAACCTCTACCTGTGTTTAGAGAGTCTTCTTATAAAATCTCTTAAGTTATCTACAAAGGCTTTCAACTTATAACTTTGTCTTTTAATCCTTTCTCACTGATAATGTTGTTGTTGTTGCTTGCCTTCAGGTCACTTCCAATTTATAGCAACTTTAAAGTGAACCTATCACAGGACTTTCTTAGCCAGATTTTTTTTTTTGTTCAGAAGGGATTTCCTCTGAGGTTGGGACTTCCTCAGTGTCACAAATGACTCTCATAAATATAAAGGTAAAAAGGTGTTAAGGAATATTATTATATTGTTAGAACATTTATGTTTTTGTTATCCATATTGGCTGTAAATATTCCAATTTATAATTGTTCTGGTCTTTAACATCATTTTGTTTATGTATTTGTGATGGTCACTTGTGGTGTAAAGTATTGAACACTACATTGGAAAAGTTCTGCCATACATTTTTTTTAAACAGCTAAATTACTTAGGTAGCTGAAAAAGGAAAGAAACAAATGTGATATCGTTATTCTTAAATATTTTTTAAAAAAACTAGATGAAATTTCAACCTTTGTGAAAAATAGTTCAGCTGTGGTTGATTTGGATACAGATTTTATTGTGGAAACATTTAGTTTGGAACTATTTTTAGATAAACTATTTTGGGGGTGAAATTTGGGCTTAAAGCCCACATATGTGGACAATGATACCTTAATCATACACACTGAATTGCCTTTCAATATGATTGCTACACTAGTTATTTGGCTATAATTTAGTTTAAATATGGTTCATTTACATAATGGAATCCATAGTCACTCCAAGGCCATCAATAGGGGGAAAAATCCAACGTTCTTACTGTTCTGTAAGGCCCTATCTGTTAATTCAAAGGAGAAAAATTGAAGTATTAGTGTATTTATTCCAATTGTGATAAAACAAGTCCTCAAGTATTAACAGAAGGAAAAGCTTTTTTTTTTGTCAAGAGAATAACACTTAAGTTGAGTTCAACAAGCAAGAAGAGGCCAGGAGGCTCTGGTTATAACTATGGTCTTAAAGTAAAACTCCACACACAACAAGAAGGATCTCTTCTACCTATATCCCTGGAAGGCAGATGGACCCTTCCTATAGCCTTCTAGAGATAATGTTGCTTAAGTATTAAATTCAACACAGCACATCACAGTGAGTTCAAGTTCCACTAGAGATTTTCCTTAGATTTTTCTTCTAGTCACAGATTAAGGGGGGTATTTTGGATCTCCTGTAACACAATATAAAACATTTGACACGATTGTTAGAGATGCTATTGGCATGCTTTGTGTTAGACAAGGTATTAGATGAAATGTCATTCTACATCAAAGGCAAGGCAGTCAGTCATGTAAAAGACGTCACAATATATGATGTTTTGAAGATTACACTCTAAAACCTGGGATAACAGAATGCTTAATTTTAATCCAAGGCATCACAGGCAAATTAATAGTTTAAATTCCACTCACAGTATTATGTTTATCATGGATCCAAAGTGTTAGCAAAAGGATAAACTGGTAGATTATCTAATTCAGCTCACTTTTTAGGATATAAGATTATAAAGAAAGGGTTTGTGTTGTCTTGTACCATCAGCACCTTCTTTAAAAAAATTACCAGCATATCACTAGTGCCTAATTTATACATTCAAAATACCAGCAGGTGCACGACAACCTACTATAAATAAATTGAAGAAGGAACTTATTGCAGGCTCTGTTAGATATTTTCATGCTTTTGATTGATTAAATAAAATACACCTTTATTCCAAGGTTGTAGCAAGCAAGGAAAGATTCTAGTAACAGTGACAAAGTTAGAAAAAGTACTTTCCTTATATAAAACATACTAGTCATACTCCATTGGGCTGAACTATTGGATGCAGTCCAACAAATGGTGTTTATTCCCAAAGATGACATGAAGTATTAACCAGTATAGAATTCAGCTGTGCTTTTTCCGATGTCTGAGGTGTACATCTCTGAGAAGAACCCAGAAAAGAACTATTGGTATTGCCAAAGGCTTTCATGGCTGGAATCACTGGGTTATTGTAGGTTTTTCGGGCCATATGGCCATGTTCTAGGAGCATTCTTTCTTGACTTTTGCCTGCATCTATGGCAGGCATCCTCAGAGGTTGTGAGGGCTGTTGGAAATTAGGAAAATGGGGTTTCCAACAGACCTCACAACCTCAGAGGATTCCTGCCATAGATGCAAGTGAAACGTTAGGAGAAAATGCTTCTAGAACATGGCCATAAAGCCCAAAAAACCTACAACAATCCAGAACTATTGGTGTTTGATTTTGTGACTATTGACACAATGATGTACCAACAGCAGCATTGCAGCACACTGGAAGAAGAAAAATAAAG